AAATTCTATAACATTCAGTCTAACGTAGAGCTTTGTCGTAGCGGACCGCATGAAGTCAGTGGTAGAAGAACAGATGCTCGCATTCAAGTGATATCCAAGGGTAGTCTTCAAACAGTTATAATCTAGTACCTCTCGTTTTCTCTTGCTTATGCGTACATTCCAGCATTTTCAAGTCTGAAACAGGATTATATATGGATGTCTGACAAGTGTTGATCTTCGTTGTAAAGAACCCTAGAAGCGTCGAGGAGTTAAACTTAAAACCTGGCTCGACGCCTTTCATCAAGACATGAGGGTGGTCCTTGGACTTCCGGTATTTAGTCTTCGTTCCTGGAGAAAAGAATGAGTCACTCTTTCCTTATCCACTGCCACAGATCGTTAAAAATCTAGAGGTAAAATCTGTCCAACACACCATTTAGACCACCTAGATCAGACTTGATCGCAGCTGTACAAGCACAAGTGCGGAGCCGTTAATTTAATTAAAAGTGAAGGTGAATGATGTTTGCATGAAGCGATAATTCCTGGAGAGCTTGCTCTCTATTGAGAGAACACACGCGAGTATGGAACTTAAACTATTTCATAGAAGACTCCGCAAAAATCTAGAAAAACACAGTCGCCAAAGTAGCAACTAATAATCAGACAACTTAAGGCGGCTGACAATGGTATGACAACAGCCTTAATAATTAAACTGCAGGAAAAGTTGAGACGTGAACAGAAGAAAATGTTTCAAAATTGCTAAGCATGGAAAATTGTGATGAAGAAATAATCAAAATATGGGATGTTTGTGAAGATGCACGTAATACAAGGAAATGGTCTAAAAATATAAGTCTATTATTTTTGATCCAGACTAACATATGCATCCTAAAGTAGGCATTCGCAATTAAAGTCACTTGAACTGTCCACTACAATCGCAACTAATGGAAAAAATTAGCGAAATTCCACTGTCAGCAAAAAACGCCAAATTTCTTCTAGTCTCTTGGGAGTGGAGTAAGAAGGGATAACGAATTTGTTGAGTCTATAACTAGTGATCAGACTACCAGAATTAGCTTCGATTAGTGAACATGGAAGGTAAGGCTAAGCCGAAGAGCGCACGAAATAAAGAGGGAGGATTAATCGAAGACTGCAGGCTGGAAATGGAAGTAACCTAGTTTTATAATGGGTCATATTAAAATCAACTCTAAAAGAAAATAGGATGATAGGCAAACATAGATTTTAAAATACAACACGCAGTCATACGCTCGTCATACCCCAAGAACGGCCATTCCAACTGCAGACACGGAACGCACTCATCGTTACTGGTGCTTTCTTCACAAAACAATAAGTCCCTTTCACACTCTACGTATTCGGTGTGTTTTGCCAGTAACTGTTCAATCGCACGGAAGAGCCGGAAATTGCAAAAAGATCGCGCAAAACTATTGCACTCCGAGTTTTTGTCGCACACATTTCCACCTAATTTGTTTAAAGTAAATAATTGTTCGCTTGCCTGCTTTGTCTGTGGGCAGCGGAAGATAAAAACAATTGAACGCGTTAACAGGCATGGTGATAGAGGTCTTCTGTGGCGCTAACATCAACGTTTATTGAAAACATCTGAAAACATAGCTCCAGGCGTTCAAATACACGCCATATGGTAAGACGCGCGGTCAC